AAATATGAGCGAAATCGGTCGAATAGTATCTGAAAAAGACTAGTACTTTCCTGATTGTTGTAAATGGGTTCAATACCATAAAGAAAAAAAAATGTTCCCTGCCATAAACTTTACGTTAACAGGATGGACAGACTGTTACTGTTTATTTTACCGTAATTTTGGAATTGAAATTCTGGTGAAGTACGTTTTTCTAAAAATCAATTTTTACCGGAAAATTTTTACGGAACGAAAAACTAATATTACAGTAATATTTACTGTAAAAAAAGGAAATATTGTTATTAAATAAATATTACTGTAACAATTACTGTATAAAATTTTACATTAAAAATAAATTTCACTTTTACGATAAAATAGATTTTACTGATGCTTACCCAGGGTGCCAGTTGTCGACTTAATTGTTTTAAAGTGCATTCATTGGTATAGTTTAAACATTTTTTCTTACCAGTTGATTGTAAGATTAGAATATTTAAATTTTACAAAAAGAAATCAATGGATGATGATCTATGCTCTTACGTTAAAGTAAGAATATATGTGTTTTATTTTATTAAAACAGTTACGTTAAATATGTGGTATGAATATTCAACTCTTTAAGCAGTTTTTACATTATATATGAAATATTATTTTCATTAGAATAAGTTTTCAAATTTATCTTCCTTTTCTTAAGGACGAAGTACAATAACAGTTTTATTTTCATAAGTAGCTTCCTCCATATCCAAATTCAATGATGTAAATCGAATATTATTATACATCATCTTCTGTTCTACTGGTAGAACTCAAAACTAGAAGCATAGAGCGATTGTAATTTTCAAAAGCAAACAGAATATATTCATATATTTTGTTTATTTATTTTTACTCTTAAATGATAAGATCTCCTAAGTTTTTAAATAGCCACTTTATTTAAGACTTATCTAGTAAACTTTCCTCCATTTCATGTTCTCTTATTACAAAAAACTTTAAATACGAATAACACTACTTTTTCTAAAAACAGAATACTACGATTGTGTTAAGTCTCTCTCGATTTTAGATTCTTTGTTTCTTAGAACCAGGAATACGAATAACATTACTTTATAAAAATAAATAGCACGATTGTTTAAAACTATATCTGTAGTCTATTGCTATTTTTAAATACACTGAGAGCAAAAGTATGATCAAAGCTACTGGAATAGATTAAATTTATAGAGTTTTTGGCTCTATGGAAACACCAAAATGTTCTGTAACTTTTACTGAAGAACTTTTGAAATGATTTTAATGAAACTAACGGTAAAGTGTTGTCTTATAATCTGTGTTAAAATTTGGTAATTGTAGAAAAATTTGGTAATTTTATAAAAACACATTTGAGCTTGTCTTAAAAAACCATTTATTTCGTCAAATTTACTTTTCAGTTTATCGTTTTTTACTAAATGTGTATGAACTATTATTTTGAAAACAAAACATTTACGATAAACCAATACCATTTACGAATGGAAAAATTGCAAATTAATGGTTTAAATACTATATATTTTCCTTTTGTTACTATAATTATATATTTTTTAAACCAGAAGTGTTATTATTAAACAGTACGGTAATTCTACCAAAAATTTCTCTACGCCTATAATTTTTAATATATTTTATTAAGTCATACGCAAAAAGCAAAAGAATTTTACAGTATTTAAATATTAATTTCAAATTTTTTACCCTATAATTAAGAATGCACACATTTATGATGAAACGGGAAATTTAATAATAAATTTAATTACATATCATCAGAATATTTCCAAATTTTCTTCTTTAGTTTATAATTTTAGGATTCTAACCTTTAAACTTTAAATAAAGGTAATGTAGGATTAGATGAAAAATATAATGTGAATTGCAACTAATCATTAAAAGAAAAGAGGAAATGGTTTAATTTATAAAAGAAAAGAAGGTGCCTTTAAAGAATCTCAAAAAGGTATTCAATGCAACAATTTTCATTTTGTGAGATGCTAATACTAGTAATTAGATGATTTAATAAATGTCAACAAATGCTTTTACATTAACTCCTAACTCACGAAACTATTTTTTAGAAATTAACCTGTTTCCGCAAATTGCTGTGAAATGAATCATTACTCTTTCCCCTTATGAATATTCATAAATATCAGAACCAAATGCGGCCGCTTTCACACACTCAAGATTAACGAATTTCTTAATTTTGGAATTTCCGAATATTTTAGTGGTATGCTAATAGTATAAAGGAAATACGAAGGGAAATGTTGTTTTATATTCCATTTAATATTTTAGTATCTTTTCTGGGAAAACATTATTTAATAAAATTACATTTTCTTTGAAATAACGTGTGTAAATATTTATAAACGACATTCTTTTAGCTTTCTTTTATGGACGTGATATATATATATATATAATATAAAGAGTGAGGAAAAAAACACATTCTTTAAAACTTTTCAGAAAGCAAATTGCTGTAAAAAATTGTTACAATTAACGTAACGATGAAAAAGAAAATAAATTCATTTTTAGAATGAAAAAAAAATCGTTATAGAATTTTCAATCTTTTATTTCCTAAAACCTTAATGCTACACAAAATTTTATAGAGTTCTAAAAATATCTAGTTAACACAAGCATGAATTAAAAAAACAGTACTACGAGATGAAAAAATAAATAAAAAGAATGAAACAATTTTTGGAACGTTGGAAAATGAATTTGGTTTTTGTTAAAAACAGTTTTCTTTCTTTTCTTCTTCTTTTTTTATATTTAAGGTATATCCTAACCCGTACATAAGAATTTCAATTTATTTTTGCTTTGATAAGGCGTGGTTGTTGTGCCAAATAATTGTATTTTTTTATTAAAAAAGAAAAAAAACTGTTTCTTCAGAATAGCGTGATTCTTTACACTGTTTTATATCGTTTTTGATGAAAATTACACGGGGTTTATTTTGTTTAACTACAATTTTACTAATTACTTTTTATTAATTTTACTAATTAACTTTTGTTAATTACTTATCAGAAAAAGAAAAAAAAGACAATTTTGCTCTGAATTGTAATATCGTGCTACATAATAGTATCATAGCTCTATAATATTGCCATTATATTACATCATATCCTATAGTATATCTTTTATGAATCATAGCTTCAGAATATCACAATTATTTAATGCCAAAAACTATAATAATCTTCTAATTAGCTGCAACCACAATAAACACCATTTGTTTCTAAATTGAACTTATTAAATGTTTTCATTCAAGTTAAAACATAGTACCTGATTTTTAAATTCAAAATGAATTATTCTTTACAATGCTTTTGAACCGTCAATTTGAAGAAAATATTAGCGGCGTTTTTGTTTAAAGCGTTTAAATTTTTTTATCATTGTAGACTCACTGTTTTTGAGAAGAATATCAAAGTAGGCACTTCAAATCTTTCACATCTTATGCTTGATATTTGTTTTCCAACTTTTAAACTGTATAAAAATGTTCGATTTGCTTTTTAACGAAATTAAATGTAGATTATATTTCTGTTTTATCGTTAAGTTCTAGCGTTTATAAATTTAGATTTATCTTAAGAATGCAGAGGAAAAACGAATTTTATTTCCTAATTCGTTGATTTTTAATTCCTAATCTATTAACGATACTAGAAAATAAAAAAATATATATGTTTTTTAGTGTAATCCAAAACGAATAGTGAATAAACTCTGAAAACCGTGCCTTAATGTTAGGGAAAAACTGCCAGAAAATTTGCTTTTACGCTGACATTTTTATTACACTTTTCTTCTTCTACTCTTTTCTTCCTATTTCTTATAAAAATCTTTAATATAATGTGAAAAGAAGTAAAATTTGTTTGTTTTAGACATTAAATATTTTTGCCAAAACTTCAAAATTACAAAAAATTGCTCCTCTTACCATGATTTTTGAACTTTAATTTCGAGAATATTAATCCTAAAATTTACTGAACTTTGTTTTTAATAAAAATATTTTTTATAGAATATTTCTCTCAAGAAACTTTTCTTGTTAGTACCCATAATTTTGGGATAATAATAAAAACACGTTCCCGTTGGCATACATATTATGAGTTATATTTTCAGGTCTTCTTTTTTTGCTGAATTATTTTTTCTAGAAATAAATTATTTTATCATTTTTATATGAAAATATCGGTATTTAGGAGACTTAAATACATTTTAATAGAGTCCATAAGGTCTTTTTCATATATATATTTTGGGAAAGTTTTTACAAGAGAGATTAGAGATAATTCTTACATTACATTAGCAATGTTGACGTTCGTATATTCTGTACGCTCTTACTATAGGAAAATCCCCGCTCACTACAGTTCTTTCGCAGAACATACTTGCTGTATGCCATGTGAAAGTGCGGTATGCCAGGTGAAAGTGTTAAATCTATATTTTAATGCTACTCTTATATTGCTCATGAAGCAACAACTCCATTTATAACCTTTTGGTCACCAGCTAATTTTTATTTAATTTAATTCGGAACCTTGTAACTACACTGTAAAAAGTTTCGGAGTAGATTGCGGTAAAAAGTACCGGGACTCAGGGTGGTGGTACTTTCTACCGTCATTCCCGTTTTTTTTCTTCTCTTTTCTCTTCATGTCGATACACTACATAAAATGTTGACGTTGTCTGAAACACCAAAATTAACTAAGATGGAATCCAAACTTGGTATTACTTTATCACCAAGTAGCCATCTTTCTAGATAGAGTAACACTGCACCGGAATGATATGATTCTCTTTTTTATTTCTTTTTTTTTGTTTCCTTGCTGTTTTTTTTCCAACAAGAATTGTGTAGATTAACATGAAATAAAAATTTTTACACTTAAAATCATTACTAATATACAGTTCGGTAAGTTCTCATGTTCATTTGATCTATAGAAGCGTAAAGATATTTATTTTTTGTCTTGTACAACCATATAAACTCCTTACCTTATATAAAACGAGAAAACAAATAATTAAATATAACACTGAAGGAAAAAAAGGAAAAACAATGAGTTTTAAATTTAATGAATTTCATTGTTTTTACTTACACATATTCTTGGTCACTCTCGGTAGAGGGTCCGTCTGGCCAAAACATAAAGCAAATAATTCTGAATTCACCGTTCGTGAATTCCTCAACGATCGTCATGGAATAGAGCAGATTGGGGAGCGAGAGAAGAACACTGAATACCCAAATCCAGAGACAGATATTGAGGGTTGTGCTTCGAGACATTCTCGGCTTCAAAGGATGCATGATGGCCATGTACCTTGAAACAAAACAAACGAAAAAAGTTTACAAGATTGAACAAATTTTTGTTTTAAGCATATACCATCTGGTATCTTTGATAGCAATAATATTTTTTTTCTAAGTGTTTTTTTTATTTATTATTTTTAATTTTAACCTAATTGTTAATCAGTAGACAAGTAAAACAGTTGCTTACTTGCAAAATTAGAACAGTTGTATAACATCCATATGAAACAAAGCTCTACCACTAAAATAAATCGCCATCGAATACTAAGTTAAAATCTTTATAATAAAACATGTATAGAGTTAATAGAGTTATACACTGTAAATAGAGTTATACACATTTACATCAGCTTCGACCAAACTGATACAAAAAGGCACTTCCCATGTCAATAAAAAAACTTAACACGGAAACTATTATTCAATCAGTTGGTTGCCCTAGACCATCGCTTAGTGATCATGGTTATCGTATTAACCTTTATATTAAGCATTCTTCGAGTGTTTAATATCAAACTAAATTTAAAAAGGGAAGAGGACAGTGAAAGTTATCGTCTAATTGACGAAAGAGCTATTGTTGCTATTGACAGAAGCTGAACGTAGTTTGAAAGGTTTCAGATAAGGTTCAAAATTGATATCTGAATCGTGGTGGCTCAGGGGATAGAGCGTTCACCTTCGATTGAGGTGAACTGGATTCAATTCAAATCCACACCGAAAACAATGCTGATGTAAAATATCCTCAGTGGTAGATGTATCATGGGTCAGTGTCTCCTTGCCATCAGGCTAACCATGGGAAATTTTCATGGTTTTCCTCTTCATGTAACGCAAATGCGGGTTAGTCCCATCAAAAAGTCCTCCACGAAGGAAGATTTACTGACTGTGATTTTTTTCTTGCTTTGAATTCCTCAGTAATTTCAAGTTGAAAGATATCTTTTAATAGAGAATGTTGCCAACTTAAGGTACCAGAATTAGATTGAGTCTAAACTACTTATAATCGAACTAATTCAAATTTTTCTCTTATCATTTCCGTATTCAGTTACTTAAGAATTGGCTTGAAATTCTTTTACGCATTAAAAGAGCAATTTTAAATTCATGTAGAAAATCTTGGAGCGATTTCTTTTAAGTAGTTATGCATTTTTTTTTTAACTGACAGGTGACAATAAGCACATGGCAAAATTTAAGTAAAATATTAGATATAAAGCTTTTATGAAGTATGCACACAAAACTAATTCATTTTGGATGATAATATAACGGGCAGCTTGCAAAATAAACTAAAAATACCTTGCTTTTTGGAAGTTAGGCTATCATAGATATCTAGTTAATGTAAAAACAGTTAGGTTTAATATAATTTATAGAGACTTGAAAATTAAAATATAAATATCCCTCCGACACAGCTAAAATATCCTTCCAACATACTGAACATGTTTTTAAGAACAAACTTTATTTTTTACAGATAAAAAGCAATAAGCCGCAAACAGTCGCCAACTCGTTATTGTTCGCAAACAATTACATATGAATTCAAGACGCGCTAAGATAAATATTTTGGAAGGAGAAATATTTAAAGAATGATGTAAAGGAGAGTGATCTTGGTGTAAATATATATTTTTTCATTTTCGGTGGTTAGGGAATTCACACCCTTTGAATTTTATATAAAATCTCGTTTTGGTGTTAGTTTGAAAATAAGTATTTTTTTACTCAGCTTATAGATTTTTTACCATCAAATTTGGTGTAATATTACACCATAGTTCTTATAGTACACATAATTGAGTTTTTATATACATTGTTAAGTGTGTAATATTAATCAAAACACTTGCAATGAAATAAACTTACGCCAAAAACTCACTCATTCACAACAAACGAAAATGATTTTCACTTTCAAAACACCGATGTTGGCGAGCTTTTAATATTGCAGATCATTGTTTGCAACAGAGAATGATTTGGCGTGAGTTACAGAAAGTCTTAACCTATGCTATTCAGAAACAAAAACTAAAGAACACCGGTAAAATATGTATGTATTTCTTTAGTTGTGTAAGAAGGATAATTATAGTTTAATTTTTAAATCTCTGTGAACTGTACTAAGTGATTTTATCGTGTATAATTTATTTCCGTTCCTACTCAGTTAAGCCTAGTTCGAATTTATCTTAATATTCTCTCTGCTACGTGCATGTTTGATAAGCAAATTCATTTTATTTAAAGAATTAGTATACTCAGGCATTCTAAACTAATGATTCTTACTTAATACTGTATGGTAAAAATAACTTTATTGACTCTTTTGTGTATCATATCTTACTGTAACTATAAATTTTAATGTTACTGAATGCGAAAAAAATGTTGGTGGCCACTTTACACCAAGTAAAATAAAATAACATTCTAAGCTAAGAGTAATTCGTGAAGCACAACTTTGGTGTAAAGCAATCGTCATTATTGTAATCACATCATGAATTTTTTTTTCTGTTTTTAAATTAAGATCAGATATTGTTAAGATAATTTAATGATGAAAAAATTTTGCACTGTATTTAATGGAGACGCATGACTTTAAAACTAATGATTTTAAGGTAGTAAGGTTATTTTAATATGTAAATGTAAGTCGCATATTTAAATCTAAATTTTATCAGACTTCATTTAGCGTAAGCAAATATGTGAAAGAACTAATTTTGAAATTAAAGAAAAATGTTGACTTCTCTAAAGGAACAAAAAAAAGAAAAATGAATTTTACAAGTTTGAAGCCATATTTCTTTAACAAAAGAATGATTCACTTTGTTTCTTGTGTTGGGATAATAAGCATTTATTTGAGAAAAAACCATTTGATTTACAGAAATATTGCAATAAATGAAATATTTTCATATTTGAAAGGAAAACAAGTTTTTTTAAAAAAAAACTAGAAAAAATGAATGACGAATGATCATTGTGGGCTTCGAATGTTTCTGAAAGATAAATTTACCTCTTTCGCATGTATAATTCCATTTTTCTCTTTTGCTTACAACTTATTTAAAACGGAACAAGGTTGGAAAGGATTATGAAAACGTAATTTAAAAAAAAAAAAGTAACAGCACACTAACAATTTTTTATGAGTAGCTTCCTCCTTATTAAAATTCAATAATATGAATCGAATATTATTATGCATCATCTTCTGTCTTAGAACTCAAAATTGTTTTAGAACTGTTTTAAAACGTACATAGCGATTGTTTTCAAGAGCAAACAGAAGATAAGAATAATTTAAGAGATAAGAATTTATAAAGCTATTCTTTCCTTTCGTGGTTACACACAATTATAGTCCATATAAATTTTTTTCTACGTCGCTTTTAACTGGTTTTTAAGAAATACAATATTATCCTAAGAAAAATTTATAACTATTTTTTAATTAAGTAATACATATATGATTTTTATATATAACTTTTGATTCCGTTTGAGTTAATTTTATAATACGTTTGATAGTATTATTTATTCATTTTAATCCATTTACACACTAGATCAAAATGTCCTGGACTAGTATTGGAAATTGGCGCTGGGATAGCCTTGATGGTAGAGCGTTGGGCCCATGTCCGAGGGGTCGTAAGTTTGATCCCCACATGCTAAAACTTAATTTTTTCGGGAGCAACGATGGTCTATCTAATATGATGGTCTATCTAATATAATCCCTGAAAAAGTGACCAACAAATATGCTTTGTCCGACCGGACTGTGTAGGGGACAGGGAACTGGCCTTGCATCGGAAAGGTTCTGAGTTCGAATCCCGGGCAAGGCATTAATGTTCTTCCATTCTCTTTACTATCCGTCCTTACTGTGGGGGCAACGTTGGCCCACCTTATATGGTGTCCTTGAAAAAGTGGTCAACAAATCAGCTCTGTAGAATGTCAGAATTGACGAAATGTTAACACAGGGTGGGAATTGGAAATAAAATAAAAAAAAAGTATTGAGAATTAAGTGATTTCGATACTTATAAAAGTTCAGAATTTGGAGGATAAAATTATAAACTAAAAAAAAATGACTATGACAAATACAACAATAAAAAAAACCTTGATGTAAATACAGAGTCTATTCAGGTTTCATTTAAATTTCTTACAGATGCTGAGCGTGCAAACTAGGTATTATCAATGGTGTTGATATCATATAAGAGTTTTTCACAAAGCTCTAAAGAATTAAAAAACAGGGTGTTTCACGCATTTCCTGGGAACAGACTAAGCTTCACTAACCGTATAAAAACCCCTTAACTGATATTAAAAGCTAGGGTATCTATCAAATTTCCTGTGAGTGTCATCTTGCGCTTGCTTTATGTTTTGCTTATAACAGGCGGTGAATTGCTGAGCCGGAGTTTATGACTATCAATGTTCAAGTTTTGATGCAACTGACCCACATTTCCATAACATAGAGAGGGGGGATCATGAAATCGTCTCCCGGTTAGCCCGACGGCAAGGGGATTCCAACCCATGATCCGCCTACCACTGAGGATGTGTGACGTTAGCACTGTGGCCTGTACCAGTCGGGAGCAGAAAACATATCAACCAACCAGAACTGGGATTTGATCCTAAGGAACACGAAACATGTGTCCAAAATCAAGAAATAAAATTATTCTCCGTCACTCTACTGTAAATGTTTTTAGCAAACAATTTGTCAAACTAGCTTCATTTATGACTACAGTACTATCTTCACTTCTTTTAGAACAAGCGAGGATAGTAGTGAGAAATTTCATTAAAAGCAGTTATAGTTTTAACCGATTAATACAATTAACTATGAAATATAATAGAATGAATTGAATATTAGTGATTAAGTACATAGTCATCAAATGGTACAGAGGTCCTTAAACTTATTTCAAAAGCAAGTGCGGTAACATTTACATCGTCCCATGTTGCAGTTGCAGTGCAAAAGGGTTTTTTTCTAAAAAAAAGGAAGGAAAAAAAACGTATTTTCAAAAGAAAAAAAACATGCAAACAAATTGAGGAACCAGTGGTGACGTCTTGGTGGATGAAATTATAACTTCCGTAGTTTATGCCTATTGATAGATACAGATATATTGATAGATAATTGAT